GGAAGATATGTAACTCCTAGTTCTGTAAGGGTTGCCATGCCATCTGCCCCGGCTGCAGGAACGGCCAGTGGCTTGGATTGTACCCGGGGAAGCCAGTGACTGGCCGGTCTTGGAATGCTTCCCTGAGAAGTGAGCTTGCTGCTTTGCTGCTTGTGCTTCAGAATCTGTGGAAGCACCATGCAGAAGCAGGGCATGAGCATGCCGTTGAGCACCTCAACAGAATTCAAGATGCACTAGCAGAGCACCTGCATTAAATCTCCGCATATATAGTCGGAGATTTCATCGTCGTTGGCCAAACATATATATATATATATATAAAGACTATAGTTATTCATTTCCAGCTAGAAGTATTCGCGAGTACCTATTTAAAGCCGCTCCCTAATTAAAAGAGACTCATCTCGGAGACCCCTAAATACGGTTTATATTTGCTTTTAACTTTAAAGCCGCTACTAAATTCCCAACGTTGCCGATTCCCACCGTGTTTGTCCACCATGACACGCCACCATTCGACATCACTATTTTAAAAGGATTTTTTCAAAGGGAAAAGGAAGACCCTTCGATCTGGAGGATTTTTCAATTTTTCATACCAGTTTAATAAAGGGTTTTATACAAAAAAACCTAGGCAACTTTTCGGTTTTGAAGCTCTTCCCACCCAGGTTTCTATCTTTGCCAATCGATGATTATTCAAAAGGATCCTCCCACTGACCCGTTTTTTTAATCGGTGAAAGGGATTACGCCCCTCCGAGCAGAAACAAGTGTATATATATAGGAAGTGATTTGGCTTTGTGGTTGACAGCATCCAGATGCTACTGCTGCGCGGCGAGCATGGAAGGTGTGGCAAGCATTGGCGGGACAATAGTTTGTTAGCAATTTTTGCCGTGTTCATCCGTTTTCTTCCATTTGATCCGACGGTCGGGGAGCCTGTGTTCAACCCAGTTGCTGATGGTTGATGTCTATGGGTCAATCAAACTGTTGTGCAAAGGCTGTTTCCATCTTGCAGGTCATTCTACTTGCTTCTTCATAAGACAGCAGTAGACAAAACTCACTCCGGGTAAGGTTTTTCCAGTATCTTCCATTTGGATTGAGACCTTCTGGAGATCCTGGCTTCCAAACGTGGTGCTTATTGAAATCATGTATATATAGCCTAAAAGGAAGTTCCCCAGTCCCAACAGCCGATGCCACAGCCTTGCGCACCAAACTGCTCGGTGGAATGGATCAGAAAGCCTACGCCCATTGCCAACCACATTGTTGGGTGTCCTTCCTCCAAAGGTTCAACCTGGTCCATTTCTCATCTTGTTTCCCGTCGGGGTGGTACATTTGTGTATACATAACATGAATATATATATATATACATCAATGCGCTAGATGTTGCACGCTCAGGTATTTCTGTGGGGGTTTCTCAAATTCGTTATATTTCTTCCATTTGATCCAATTGCATTGTGTTTGTTCAGATGCTTTGGTTGACAGACCCCCCAAATACATCATCCACCATCCACGGGCCTGAATCTGTTTGTTGTGGTTCGTGTTCCTGACGGGAAGCGGTTCCAAATGCAAGTAGACGCAGCAAGCTGCGCAATTGGTTTTGCTGCGCTTTGTTTCATCGGGGGGTGGCCACGTTGCCACAGGCACTTCTTACTGGGATGTATGCCAGGCTGCCGGTAAGCTCGTTGTTTCAGGATTAGCTGTTTGTTTGAACGGAACCAGTTTCATGGTGATCGAATCAAAGGCCAGGCATACCATGTGTTTCGGAGAGTATTCTCCTCTTCAGACCAGGCAACGTGTACGCGTGGAAAAAAAAGTTTCTCGTAGCCTTTAGTACAAATGGAAGAAATTCAACACCTACTTTATGCTACAGGGTATTTCTTCCATTTGCTGTTGCCTGCACTTTCCTCGAAAAAATGGATCTTCCATTCAATAAATTGTCTTAATATCTTCCAAAATAGTGCACACTAGTATAATGGTCAGCACTTGGTCCTCTTGGAAGGTCCTCCTTCTGGGTTTCTTTTTTGGAGAGGCTGGCCCTTGAAAGAATAGATCAATGTCTGGATCTTGTGGGTCGCCTGCTTCATCACACTTGGAATTCCTCATGGAAACCAAGTTGGATAGGGCTGGGCAAGATGCAAGGGATGCATTTTTGGTCACCTTGGCCCCACAAATCAGTTGAATGATGGGAAGGGCAGTGGATCTGATTCTCAGAAACTTGGTGTCATCTGGACCATCCACCACCAGTTCTGGTGGAATCACAATGGCCTTCTCGTCTTGGTAGGATATCTGCATGGCATAGGTAATTTCCACCATGGCTATATGGGTGCTGGCTGCTTGATGTCTTCTCCAGCTACTGGTCTTTGGTTTTGGAGCAATATGGCTAGATGTTTCTTTGATATCATGATAGCCATGGTTGGCTCTGCCTGTGCAAATTTGCTTGTGTATATGGTTGATACTATTGTTTTTACTTATTTGGATGCATATACTAAAACAATGGTGGCATGAATGACAGCCATGCTATGGCTGTTTCAAAGGACCAGTTGATATATGCAATAACAGTCTGTTTGCATGACAGCCATGGAATGGCTCTATATATATACATAGGTGTTTATCTAAAAAACTTTGGAGCTGTATGCTGCATGTATTTTGAGGGATGGGTGTTGGGTATAATATGGTAAAATGTTTGTTGAGAAGGCTGTGGATATAATATTTTCTCCATATGACTGTGGAAATCCTTTGTGTGTGCTTTCAAAAGCTTGCTTGGTCTGTTTAAAAGATCTTTTGAAATCTCAATGACAGCAGGTCAGCTCATGAGTTTGGGAATTTTCCCACAGGTAAAAATCACCAAATGAATCCTATAGATTTCCCTTAATTTTTGTCTTCGTGTGTGGGCCAAACTTATCTTCAATGTGGCATCATGCTCCTAGAAAATGTTTTTGGACAACATGTTTTTTTGAAGATTCAATGGTTTCAGCCATCAGTGCCTTTGCTTTCTGCCTTTGTTTTTGGTTAAACATCATGATGTTAAAAACAGCTAATTCCATCAACAAAAATTATAACTAGTTAACATAGTTAACATGAATTAGCAAAAAAAGCTTAAAAAGTTACTATCATATGTTAAACTAGTATACAAGTTATGCATATTTATGCATTGTTATAACTAGTTCATACATGGTTATAATTAGTTAGTACATAGTTATAAAGAGTTGTAAAAAAATTAGAACTCCACCTAACATACTTAACTAGTTATAACAAAACCAGGGTTTTAAGCAGGACATGAAGGCTACGTGCGAGCCGCATCTCAGACGGCACACTTTCGTGACTGCGTTCGCGTAGCGGGGCTCCAAATGGGAGGAGGGATTTTCCTGACCAACTCCCGTGTAGGACCGGAGGGCAAGACCCCGATCATTTCTAGATTGGGAATCTGCGCGTACGTCGACGACGATTCCTCAATAATTAATGAAGTTCGATGCACAGGCTGCTATGGATACTTGTGCGACGCTTCACAACTCAGACAACCGCATTCAGTTTTGTTAGACCTAGCTAACATGATCCGCTCTTCCGGCATCCACAACTGGAAGATTGCGCATCATCCTCGACCTTTGGCGTCAGGCGAGTTCTCCGAAGACCCCAACCCACGTGGAGGAGGACGCCGGAGGCCCAAAGCTCGCTAGGGGCCTTGCAAACCTGTAACCGCTGCTTTGCGCGGTCGCATTTCGTTCGTAGGGCCATTAGCTAGGTTGAGCGCAGTGAAACGCTAATCTCAACATCCTCATGTCAATCTAGTTGAACTTTAGGTCATGCATTCAATTCTCCTTTCAGTGCACTCTGTCAGACACCACGCAACAGCTGCCACAGTGCGCTGGAGTGGTCAGGACTCCTTGTGTAGCGTGAAAATAACTGCACCTAGGCTCATCTAGCTTGAACCGGGTGTCTTCCAAATAGCAAGTGGGTGTTTGATTTGGAATAGATCCTTGTTGTCAAGTTTCTTGCTGGCTCCGTTAAAAGCATGTAACACAGCCATGTAGTTTGCTTGGTCCTGCTTGGGAGCAAAGAGCTCCAAGGATGAGGCAACATCCACATGCGCCTGATACACTCAAGACTGACCTATATATACAGTCATGGAACTTCAAGAATTTAGATTTCTTCGTAGTGGGCAGCCATGCCAGCGTGGAGATACGATGATGATGGAGACGTTACGTGTGAAGAGTCTGCAGAGACCATCTCCTTCCTCACAACCACGAACATAATCCACCGCTTCTGGCGCCACAGCCAAGCACCACTATTTCAAAAGTTTTGCGCCACATTTTGATAGAGCTTTCGCTTCAAGATTTTTAAAGCACTTGGATGGAGAACGTGGACCTGTTGGAGCTGCAAAAAGAAAAGGCTTGCAACTCGTACTTCACACTATTTGCCAGATCTTTCTCGACCCTCTGCGGAGTCATGTGTTGATGTAGGTCTGTGCGGCCTCGAGGATTGCCTGAGCCAGCTGGAAGCACCAACCACTGCGCTTATACGCTGATTGCTCAATATGCCCAGCTTGGACGTGAAACTTTCTCGGTTTGACATTTACCTTGTATTGGTGCTCAGGAGCGGAGGCTCAACGATCTTGGATTGGAAGATTATAAATGGAGCAGTCGGATGGAAAACCCGTCACGTTTCAGACCGGGGCCCCAGCCCCAAAATGTGATGGGTTTTTTTGAAAAACCCGTCGCAATTAAATAAGGAAAACGAAAACCCGCCAAACTTTCCAGCTCATCCCCAACTTCAAAAAGTGATGGGGTTTTTCCAAAACCTATGGAATTGTGATGGGTTTTTTAAAAACCCATCGCTTTTCTGGGGCCAGCCGAGCTTCCAGATTGTGATGGGGTTTCTGAGCAAAACCACTCAGCCAAATGGATTTGGCCACCAGA